TAAAATAACAAGTAATATAATACTTGGATAGTATGGAAATGTTCTTTTCTGGTTGTGTTTAAAGCTATTTTATAGTAGGTGAGCATTGAGCTAGTTATTGAATATAACTTTTTATAAATACTTTATTTTTTATTATATTGTTGTAAATAACTATCTTTTGTTTTTACATTTATTAATAAAGTTTAAATACCTAATCAAGAAGTTTATTTTTTTTTAAAAAAAATATGCAGTAATATATTTTTATTTTAAAAGTCAATTATTTCAATAAATGTATTTTTGCAAAACTTGTTTGTTAATAATAACATTTCAAAAGGAGTTAAGTAAATTCTTTAGTTTTCTTGTTGAAGGGACTCAGTAAATTACAACTTTCTGATTTGCTTTTTATAATATATTTATTATACTTTGTTTTAATTCTCAGATTTGGTATCTCATTAAGAAATTTATAAGTTGATAAAGTTCAAGGTAGGCTTTGTATTATTGGTAAGGTCTAAATACATCATTAATACTGATTAAAAAATAGGTCCCCTGATTAATAAAAACTGTTATTTATTGAACAAAAGACGAATAAAGGAATTCAAGAGTTAATTCGGGGTGAAAAAAAAGTGAATAAGTAAACGGGATTGCATGTTTAAAATTAAAAATGGAAATAAATAAATAACAAACAGAAAACGCACAAGCAGTATACCAATGGATAAATAAATAAATAAATAAACAAGATGGAATGAATGAAAATAATTTTTTCGTTCATTACTTTTTTTCTTCTTTCAACGAATTCCGTTTGTAAGTACAGTACTTGGACCGCCCACTTCTTCTCTTCTCTTTATATGTCAACTAGTTGTTTCTCAATTCATTGTTTTGATCAATAAATAAACAAGTCATAGTTAAATACACGTGACTCGTAATTAAAAATAGAACTAATTAATATATGCACTGGTAGTTAATTTTTAATCAGGATCACCGCGAGAAGTACCTCGCTTAATAATGGATTTTTTTTTTTAAATTTATTATTATTATTATATAAGATATTATTAATAATAATCTATACATGTGACAGTTTAATTCTTTTGCATAATATAATATATATATAATAATAATAAAATAGATAAAAAAAAAAGAACGTAACCAAATATATAAATTTTAAATTTTAACAATAATTTAATGCACCACATTCATTAAAAATAATTATACTGCGACTCCCATTCTGTAATGAGAATAATAATTATTATAGTAATAATAATTTGCTGTAATTCCTTATCCATTACTTGCCGCGTGTTGTTGTTTTTATTGTTGTTATTTTGTTGAGAGATTTACACGTTCTTTTCTTTTGTTTCTAATTATTACTCTTCTTCTTTGCCACGAGATTTTGACAAAGTGAATCGTGTTGTTATTTATTCATTAATTATATTAATTAGTCTCCATTCATACCATTCCTTTTTTTTTTTTTTGCCATTGCATTTTTCTTCTTCTATCGATTCTCTAAACTTTACCTTTACACAACGCACACCCACACCCACATATACATTTCACTTTATCATATAAAAATTAACAAAAAAAAAAAGAATTTACCAACACGTGAATGCATAGACACTAACCAAATCTTTTACTGGGTGATCAGGTTAACCAATCTTTTATTGGATGATCAAGCAACCACTTTCAAATATCCACAAAAGGATGTAATGGGAGACTCTCCCATTCAGGGAGATTTTATATGATTATTATATTTTTTGTAAAAAAAAAAAAATTCAGGTTTTTTTTTTTAAGATAAAGTTTGATAAAAGACATGTGAAAGCTTGAGATTTTTATTTATTTATTAAAATTAAAATAATTTTTTTTTTTTTTTTTTTTTTTTTACAAAAAAGAGGGATTTTCCATGTCTATACAACGTACACAAAAGTATTTATTTTACCTAAAAAAACTTTAAATTAAAAAAGAAAATCATTATTATTTTTTTTTTTTTAACAAATAATAATAATTCTCAGCTGGTAAAATAAATAAATAAAAAAAAATAAATAAATAATAGTCTTTGGATCGTTGGATCTTTAGCAAGGGTTACCTGATAATAATAATAATAATAATAATATAATAATAATAATAAAATAATAATAATAATAATAATAATAATAATAATAATAATAATTTAGATCCCTTGCATAATTTTTTTTTTTTTTTGAACATATGCATATGACGACATCTACAGCCATGAATGGATATCGAAAGTTCAAACATTGAATCAATAGCCAAATAACCAAATAACAAAATAAGTTCATCAAAAATATCGAAGTTGATACAAAATAAAATAAATTAAAATTAAAAATAACATAAAATAACATAAAATAAAATAAAATAAATAATTAATGAATAATAAATAAAATCATGAATGATAATAATAAAAATAAATTCATGAATGATAATAAAAAATAAAAATAGCAAATATTCAAACAAAAAGTGGCTTACGAATAATAATTTCATCAAAAAGGTAAAGAAATGCGGGGATTTTGTGGGACAGTCTCAATTAACCAAATTCGACTTAAAATCATGTGAAAAAAGCATCTTCCCCAAATGATCCGATTGCCGATTTTGTACTCAATTTAAATAATGATGTTATCATTATGTTAAATTCTTTAACATCACTTTTATTAACGGTTTTAAGATTATGATTATTATTTATGATTATGATTATTATTATTAATAAATAATAAATAATAAAGTGCGATATTATATAACAGATAAACGTAATCAATCTTAATTCAATTATTATTATTATATAATAATTATATTTATGATATAATATTTATATCTAAACAAAGTGACAAAAGGAACAAAACTAATTAAAGTAAATAAATAATTAAAAATGATTAAATAATAATGATTTAAAATCATAAATAATAATAATAATAATAATGATAATAATAATAATAATAATGATGATGATGACAAAAATGTTTTAAAAGAATTTCAGGGGACGACGACGATGATGAATGGATAAATAAATAAACATATCCATCGGCAAATCGACAACGGTTCTTTGAGGTTTTTATATATAGAAATTTTTGCTCTTATCTTTCTACAATATCATGACCGTGTCCGTGCCAAGATTCTTGAGGTTTTAAATATGATCGATCGATATGAACGTTTATATATAAATATTTATATAACTTTTATATCTTTTATTATATATTTTATATCATCATTCATTTTAATTAGATCAAGAAGAATAATAATAATATATTTAGTATATTAAATAATAGGGACAAAGACCACCCAATAATGATTATCGTTATCTTCACATTTGATATATTAAGTGTAATTAATAATAATCATTATAATCCTTATAATCATTATTATAAACATTATTATTTATGACTAAAAAGATATATAAAATAAAGTAATTTCGGATTTATTCTATTGACAATAGTAGTAATAGTAATAGTAGTAGTAATAGTGGTTGAAGAGAAATGATAAGAGATAATTTATTTATTTAAGGAAATGATAATCATTAAAAAAGATTGAGAGATAAAGTTATAAATGTAATAATTGATCGAAATAACAAAGATCAAAGATAACGATGATGATGATGATGATGATGGTGAAAGAGAAGGAAGGTTAAAGTTCAAATGAAAAAAAAAAAAGAAAATTCAAAATAAATTAATTATTAGAAGAATTAGAAGATATAAAATTAGATCGATTAAAAGATAAAATTAGATCGATTAGAAGATAAAAAAAATAAGGTGATCGATAATAAATTAGTCAGAGATCAATTGGTGAAACTACTTGACATTAGAAACAAAGAAATTAATAGCATTCACAAAGATTTCTTTTTTACAACGAAAAAATTCAGTTTGCATGAAAAAAAGAAAAAAAAATAACAAAAAAAGGTAAATAGTAAAAATAGTAAAAAAGAAAAATGGATAAATTGATTATTCGTAAATAGAATGATAGTCATAATAAATTAATAATATTAATGAATTAATAAAATTAGTTAAGGATTTTCGGTTAATTATCCAAAATCATCATTATAATAATTTATTTTATTAATATTTTATTTAATAAAAGTAAAGCAACACTCAAAATGGACAAAATTAAATTGTATAGTAATAATAATATTGGAATTACTGGTGACATTTTATTAACTAACTATTTTTGACCCCTGAAATTTTTAACCATAATACTTTGTCATTTTTAAATTCAATTCAATTCAATTTATTTATTTATTTATTTTTATAATTATTCAATTTTTTATTATATTTCAATTTATTATTATTATTATTATTATTATTCATTTTTATCACACACTTTATCATTTTATTATCACCACATATTTATCACATTATTGCATATATATAACCTAATCAGATAGTGTATTACACATCAGCTTTTGCTTAACTTCTAAAATATCAAAGGTTAATAAAGATAGATATAGTAATAATAATAATAATAATAATAATAATAATAATAATAATAATAATAATAATAATAATAATAATAAAAATAATATAATAATAATATCAAAAGATAATTTATTATTGTAAAATTATTATAATTATTATAAGTAGTAAAAATTGGTAAAATTGGTAAATTGGTAAAAAATTCCCAAAAAATTATCTTGTTCATCACTTAATCCAAAACTAAGACCCCACAACTTTTTTACGGTTCTAGTGTGTGTGGCACTCCGTTTGTTCCCACAAATTTCCTATATTTTCATAGTAACAGTATCACAGAGTAAGATTCTAAAACTCCCCCTTTTATCTGCGTTGAATGTATATTTTCTCGACAAAATTTTCAATTATCTAAAATATTTATAGTTAATTTGTTAACGTTTTACATTCAATTTTTTTTTTTTTTGATAAAAGTTCCTTTGTAAAAAAAAAAAGCGGTTTTTTTTTTTTAGATAAAATAGATAAATTGGATTCACCCTTAAGTATATATTGAGAATTTTTGTTTGTTTTTTTTTTGAACCTCGTAGGTTCCCTTTTTTTTTTTCCTATTCTCCTACGCGAATTATGGATTCTTTTTATCAAAGTAATGGGAGTTCAACAATGAATAATAAAGAACAACAGCAACTCATGTCTTCAGGTTTCGTACCTTCACCTTCACAAGTCGAGTATGCACATATGACTGATAACGGATATCCTCAAGATCAACTTGAAAGAATGTCTCAAAATACCTTTAGTCAAGGTTTTACTGCAATTTCTGAGCCGCCTCCTTATGAACGTAAGGATTGATTTTCCATTTCTATTTTTGAAGTTTTACAAAAATTATTATTATTATTATTATTATTTTTTTTAAAAAAAAATTTTTTTGGTTTATCTCGTTTTTTTTTATCATACTTATAAATAAATAAATATATATATATTTATATTTTTTTTTGTCATGTACAGAATTCAAAGAATATAACTGGGCAGATGACTTAACTACAATTATTCCTCCTCAATCGGAAGAATTTGGTCAAGCATTATTGGATTCAGCCGATGAACATTTCATTTTTGATGACTTTCTTGGTAATCTTCAAGCAAATCCAAACTTTATTTTTAATCCATCATTACCTTCAGATATGCCAGTATTTCCACCTCCTGATTCTGTTAATGAATTACTTCATCCTATGAGTTCATCATCTGTTTCAGATGATATGTATAATAATCTTTTACCAGATCAAGTTTCAACAGATTTGATGAGTCAACAACGACAACAACAACAACAATTTTCATCATCATCAAATAATTCAACGAGTTTATCACCTCGTACATCAAATATTACGTTATCTTCATCACCCCCTAATCAACATAATAATAATAATAATAATAATAATAATAATAATAATAATAATAATAATCAACAACAACAACAACAACATCATCATCATCATCATACTAAACATATTTTACATAATCGTGAATTGGCAACTCAATCATCATCATCACCATCATCATCTTCTTCATCATCATCATCACAGATGACTACAACAATTAATTCATCATCAATTTCTGATCGAAAAGATGGATCTACGTTACAATCAGTTCCTTCCAAACGTAAACAAGATAATGATGATGATAAACCTAGACGCCGGTCGTCCAATCCTCGATTAAATTCAATTAATATGACACAATCAAATAATTCATCAACGATATCTAATAATCCAAGACCAATTTCACCTTCCATGCAATTATCTAATCTTTCCATTGATGCTAATAATAATAATAATAATACAAATTTCCTTGATAATGATAATGATAATGAAGAAAGTCCAGGGAATACTCCAGGTAGTAGTGTTAATGGATCACCTTCACCGAGAACACCTAATAATGAATTTTCAAAGAATGAAGAAGAATCTTCAACATTAAATAATTTAACTGAACAAGATAATGGTAATACGACAGATGAATCACAAGAGATCAAATCGGAATCAAAACCTACCCCACAAAAATCAAGTCGGAAACCTTATAAAGAACTTCTTACGGAAGAAGAGAAACGAGCAAATCATATTGCATCTGAACAAAAACGACGAAATACAATTCGAGCGGGATTTAAAGAATTAACGGATATTATACCTACACTTAAGAATGTGAATAATTCAAAAAGTACAATTTTATTTAAAGCAGTAGATTATATTAAATATTTAGAGAAAAGGAATAAAAGTTTAAAAGAAAGAGCAAGTCTTTTAGAAATGAGAGTTGAAATGGAAATGAGACAAGGAGGTAAAAGATTTCATCATCATGGTGGATTTGGACCAACGATGGGATTTGGACATCAAAGAGTTGGACCAATGCCATATGGTGTAATTCATAATCCTATGAATGGTATGAATGGTATGAACGGTATGAATGGTATGAATGGTATGAATGGAATGAATAGTATAAATGGAATGAATAATATAAATGGGATGAATAATATAAATGGTATAAATAATATAAATAATATAAATAATATGAATGGTATAAATGGTATGAATAGTATGAATAATATGAATGGTATTAATGGTATAAATGGTATAAATGGTATGAATGGTATGAATGGTATGGGAATTCCAATAGGACCAGGACATCCACCACCACAAACTCATTCCATGCCACCACCTCAAATGCAAAATATGCAATATTTTGTTCCACCCAATAATTCAACTTCTTCAACTTCGGCTTCTTCAACTTCAACAACTTCAACTTCTTCAACTTCAAATTCAACTTCTTCTACTTCTATTAATACGGATAATCATATGATACCGGGAGGAGGAGGAAGTAATGGTAATGGAAATGTTGGAAATAATAATAATATAGTTTCATCATCATCAAATCAAACGAACAATTTATTTAGAAATGGAATTCAATTACAACAATCATCACCTCATCAAATAAATAATAATAATAGTAATAATAACAATAATAATAACAATAACAATAATAATAATAATGACAATGGTCTTGTTCCAGGGATGAATATTCCAACAATGTCAAGTGATGATGATCAAGAAATGATGAATCATCATCTTCATAATGGTGTTGATCCAGGAATGGTAGTAGGCGTAGATCACGATGGTGATTCGTCTATGATGGTGATGAATGGAAATACATCGCGCGTTAGCGTTAAATGTTTATAAATATTTTTTCCAATGATATAGTACTTTATATATATATGTATATATATATATATATATATTTTCCTCTTTTATTTTTTTTTATATCTTTTTTTTTCTGTGAACGAATTATTCGTTATTATTTGTTTATTATTTTTTTATTATTATTTGTTATTTACTTGTTATTATATTCTTTTTTTTTGTTTTATCATTCTTCATTAAATTTGCTTTTTTTCCATACTACAATTTCTTTTACTTAGATTTATGATTTCCTTCTCAAAAAAAGCTTTTTTTTTTCTCTCTCTCTCTCTCTCTCTCTAGACATTTAGTAATATTAACCTTCCTTTTTTTATATTTTTAACATCATCCAAAATCCAAAAGTACTCTATGATTTTCTATGACTAGTTAACGAAAATTAAAATTTTTTACCATTCATTCCGATTATGATTAGTTTGTAAAAATCAAGTGGGATAATTTTTATTAAATTTTTAAAATAGTTTTCTTGATTATTATTATTATCATTATTATTATTATTACTACTACTATTACTACTATTATTTACTACTTACTATCATTATTATTATCATTATCATTTTTATTATTATTTATTACTATATATATCAATTTAGTATGTATTTATCATTTTTTATCATTATTTTCCAAAAAAAAAAAAATAATTTTATTTTTTTCGTTAACTTGTATAATATATATAACTTCCATCATTCCGTCTATTCAATTCTATTTTTTTCTAAATATATATATGAATTTTCGTTATTTTTATTTTCATTCGTTTTTTTTTGTTTTTTTTCCTTATGTTTTTTTTTTCTTTTTTTTTTTAAAAAAAAAAAAAAATTTTGAACCGAGAAGGCTTTATTATTATTATATATATATATGATTTTTTTCAAAAAAAGATATAAATAAATTCAAATGTTTTTATTTATATTTAATTCAAAACAAACAAAAACAACAACAAAACAAAAGCAAAAAGAGAACTTATTTACTAATTTAAATTATTATTATTATTAATTATTTAAATTATTAAATTAATAATTATTATTATGTAAATTATTATATTTGTTTTTATTATAATTTAAATTATTATTTTTTTTTTATACTTTGATCTATTTTAGATGTCTCGTATGATTGATTTTTTTTTTTTTTAAAAAAAAGAGAGAGGATTTTTATCAAGGCTAAAGACGGAATTTGACGCGTTTTTTTTTTGTATGAATAATCCAGCTTTTTTAGATTAATAAATAAATTTAATAATATGTTAACTTTAAAAATTGGTATTTATAGAATCGATTGATGATTTAATTTCTCTTTTATGGTGACCACCATCAAATAATGTGTGCGTGTTGTGTGTCACAAGTGACAAGCACACTCCGAATGTTTTTTTTACCTTTATTTACAGGGATTGTATTATCATTATTGAAACGAAACTCAACAAATATATATGTAAATATATATATATATGTGTATGCGTGTCACAAATAATAAGCGCACTGATTGTAAAAAGATTTTATTTTAACAAACATATTATTATTGATGATTTTTTTTTTGTCTTTATTTACAGGGACAGTATTATTATTATTTATGTCTTTTTGGTGGTACATCTCAGTGTGAGTGTGGAGTAAGAGTAGAGAGTAAAGAGAATGAGTAGGTCGCGTTATATATGTATATATATATATTTATTTATTTATTTATATATTATATGTGGAGCGAGAGAATTTCTTTAAATTCTTTCGAAGCTTTTTTACGTTTTATGATGTTTATTATTTGACAATTTTTTCTTTTCTTTCTCTTTTTTTTTTTTTTTTTTTACGTAATGTTGATTATTTAAAGTAATGACATATATATAATAATAAAGATTTTGAGCACAGATCTTTATTTGTTTATCGTTCTATTGTTTGTATATTGGTTTGTATCTCGTGATACATACATTTTAAACTTTTAATATTACAAAACATTACCAAATATTTATAAATATTATTTTAAAGTACCAAAGAATTATTCCTGTGACAATACTTAGATATAGAGATGATTGATTACTTTTTTTTTTTTTTTAAATTCAAAAGATTTTGTAACTTTATTTATAAATAATTAAATAATTAAATAATTAAATGATGGTACATGAAATGATGATGATGACGATGAACGATTAAATAAGACTTGAATGATTAAATAATTTTAAATAATCTTGATGGGAACAGGAAATTTTAACTCTATATTACAAATATAAAATTTAAAAAAAAAAATTAAATGATCACGAATGTTTTGATTAATGAACAAATTTGATCATCAATTATATATGTATTATTAATTTTCGACGAGATAACGCGAGAGACGATCGAAAGAAGAGAAGTTCAACGGGGTAACAACAACCTTCCCCCCTTATTAGGGCATACATATCAAATTAATTTTTAACTATTTTATAACTGATGGCTGAAAATATAATTTAACCAATACTATTTAAGCTTTTAAACTCGTACATAAATATATGTAATTATGATTAATTAATTATAAAAATTATTCCTTTAAAAAATTTTCATTCATTTTTATCATATTTCTTTATTTTTTTTATTATATATATATAAAAAAGTTTCCTGTTTTAAATATATATATATATATTTTTTTTTTAATATATTTTTTTTTTTTAATATATTTTTTTTTATTATACTTTTTATCAAAATAATAATTTAAAAAAAAAATGTCTTTAAAACCCATGAACGGTTTTCAACCTGAAAGACCTAATAATAATAATATATATTCAAAGTTATTAAAGAAACAACCACTAAACATACCCTCAAAATTTGCTCTATATTTAGTTGAACACCAAATAGGTGAGAACAATCTCGAGAAAATTAAATCATCTCTCCTTAGTTTCAATTATTAATAACATTTTCGTTTTTTTTTACACCTTTTTCTCGTGAATAATGAATTTTTTTTTTTTTGATATTATTACAGAATTTCCCTTAATTATTCTGACGATTCTTGGTTCCGCATATTTACTTAAAGTTCCGGGTTCCGAAAAATTTTTCTTTTTACAAAACAAGAACCCTAACACGGGTCTCTACAGAAAATCCAAGGATGACGCGTACTTCATATCATTTTGGGTTATCTTATTTACATTATTACGAGCATTCATAATGGATTATATATTGATTCCTTTAGCTAAAATGGGAGGAATCAGGAATGATAAAAGAACGAGATTTGCCGAACAAGGATGGTCCTTTTTATATTATTCCGTTTTTTGGACAATTGGAATGGTGAAGTATATCTTTTTTTTTTTTTTTCATACATAAAATAATAGATAAATATATAATTCATTTACTTACTTATCATTCAATTGATCTCCCCTTGATGACAATTTCTTTCTTCTTCCTCCCACCTTTTGATTTGATAACTATCAATTGGTAATAAAAATAATCAAATTATATAATTCCATATTATTATAATTACTTTAATAATTATCAAATAGTATATCATGTATCAATCACCACATTGGTTTGATACATCTCATTACTGGAAAGGTTACCCTCACATTGAATTAACTTCCTTATTTAAGGGATATTATTTAATTCAATTCGCTTTTTGGTTACAACAAATTTTCGTATTATATATTGAGAAGAAAAGAAAAGATTTCGTTGAAATGGTTGCTCATCATGTGATAACCATTTCATTGATGTTTTTTTCTTATATCTTTAATTTTGTTCGAATTGGTAATGCCGTCTTGTGTACTATGGATTTTACTGATGTGATATTACCAGTAAGTATTTCTTTTTTCATTTGGGGAAGATATTCATTATTATTATTATTGTTTGTTCTTTTATGATAATTAATTAATTAATTCATAATTATTATTATTATCATTATATAATTCAGTTCGCTAAAATGATCAAATATCTCAAATTCAATAAAATTTGTGATTTCATATTTGGACTTTTCATCATTTCGTGGTTGATTACTCGTCATTATTTTTATGGACATATAATTTATAGTGCATGGACGGAACCTCAAAAATATTTAGAATTCAAATGGTCACCTGAAGAAGATTATTATTTAACGAAAAATGTACAAATATTTTTCTTGATACTTTTCATCTCACTTCAAATACTTATCATATTCTGGTTTTATTTAATTTGTAATATCTTAAACAAAGTGATTAGAGGAGATAATGCACATGATAATCGGAGTGAATCTGAAGGGTGAAAAAAAATTTTTTTTTTTTTGAATTGTTTGATTTGAATTAATTTTTTGATTGATTTTATTAATTAATTGATTAATTAATTAACTTGATTTAATTATTTTTATTATTTTTATTTTTTCACAGAGAAGAGGAAGATATCACCAGTAATGGATATGCTAATGGGCATACAAATGGAAATGTGATTAATGTGAAAAGAGTCAAGGATGATTAATTAGATGTAATTTAATAATAGTAGATCACAATAAGAAGCAAAAAAAAAAATCCAACATATACACATACATACATACTTATATATGTACATTACATAGGGCATAGAAATTAATTAGTCATTAATTGTTTGTATAATTAATTAATTGATTTTTTAATTATTTATTATTTGTTATTTTTTAATTATTTATTATTTTTTAATTATTTATTATTTTTTAATTATTTATTATTTTTTAATTATTTATTATTTTTTAATTAATTACTATTTTTTTAATTATCTCATCATTATCTCAAAAAAAAAATTATTAACTATAAGAAAATCTTTTTAAAGTTATTATTATTATTTTCTTAGTTTTTTTTTTTTATTTCATTTCTTCTCTCATAGAAATATATATTCATTCAAACCAATATGTAACATAATAAAATAGATTTTGTCAGTTGATATTATTATTATTAATTCATAAAAATAATTTTTTTTTTGATATCATCCCAATGAATCCACCCTTTATTAAAGAATTATTTTAATAACAAACTACTATAAACAATATTTTTTTCTTGCATTTCACTTACAAAAATTCATCTTATTTCTTCATTTGGATTTTTTTCTTTTTTTTTTTTTGCATTTCTGTTTCCTTGTTAATTAGAAAACTTTATAAATTATTTTATATAGTGTTTGCAGAAGATAGTTGATAGATTAAATGAACAAACGTACCTATACTAATGCTCCCAACGTTATATTTTTCTTCTTTATTTCATAATATAACTCATTTTATCACACAATTCTTACTGCTCACTCAAGTTAAAATACCTTTTTCTTTACTAACAATCTTAAATTTTCTTAATAATAATTTCATCCAAAATGTTTCTTTAAAGATTCTTTATTAGAAGAAGAAATAAAAGGAAGAAGTTAATAACAGCATTTTGTAGGTTTTCGATTTATATAAAGTATTCTCCCAATCAGGTGATGCTCCTCTAGCCAATTATAATTCGAATTTTCGATGGGGAATCTTAACCTAGCCTCACATGTCATTATGTTAAATGACATGAGTTAGGTTAGGTTTTCAGGGGTGTGTATTTATCACACCTTTCGAATATCGATTTTATTTTTACTTGCGGAAACCATATTTGTCACTATGAATCTTCACATGAATCTTCACATAAAATCACTTGTCAAATTAAGAGCCAATAAAATTCGAAGGGATCTAGGATAAGTCTAGGATAATACCTAAACCGGGGTCTAGGTTAAGGATCCTCATTTTCGATATGATGGCGATAATCACATGCGTAACTCGAAAATCATATATAATCACATGCATAATTCGAAAATCAATGTTATTTTATTTTTTTTTTAAAATCATAATAAAGATGACAACATCTTTCTTACAAACGCGACAATCGGCAAGAATAATTAACGGTGTACACACTGAAGCATTAGTTACAGGTTTTCGTGATAAAATTCTAGTTCTGGTTACGCAATATGGAAAGATTGGAAGTTTGGTATTTATAATTATTTTTTAATAATTAAATGATAATATTTTAATAATCTTTTTTTTTTAAAAAAAATATTTTGATAAATCTTTTATCTAGTTACATGTGACAATGCAATCTCAAACAATAACAACTTTAGATACTCTTTCTTCTTCTACTAATGTTAATTTTTTATTGGGATCAACTTCTCCTTTATATCAATTATATGCTACAAATATTTCTACCATAATATCATCAGAAAATCCCAATGATGGAAGATCTTTATTAATAGGATTAGCATTAAAGATTAATAACAACAATAACAATGATAATGATTATAATATTGATGATGAATTTGATAAAGAATTATTTGAACAAGTTGAATTGATGGTTAAAGAATGTAGAGTTTGGTAATTTTTAATAATAATTTTTTTATTATTTTATTATTTTTTATTATTTTGATTATTTATACTATATTATATGGCATATGGATAATCTATTAACCCCAAATTTTAAAATAAAATAAAAAAAAATTGTAACAAGTCATAATAAATGAAATATAAAACAATTTAAGTGATTTCTAAATCATACTCTTCATCATCATAATCATTATCATCTTCTTCAATTATATCACCTTCAATTCCTTTGACTTCTTCACTTGTTGTTTGTTTCACATTCCAAAATTCCAAATTCTCATCCTTACATTCTTCATTACCTTCCTTTGAATTTATTTTATTTATTGCAAACCACTGTATAGACAAATCATTAAAAGTATTATAAGGTATACATTGTTGATTTTGTTGCATATCTTCTTTATCATTATTCTTGTTATTGGTTTGTGTATTTGTTGTATTACTATTACTTTGTAAATTATTATTATTATTATCATCATCATCATCATCATCATTATTGTTATTACCAAGTTGTTGAAAGTCGAGAGATGAGAATTGAATAATTTTCAAAGCGTATATACACAAAGAAAGAGAGAGAATTAATTCATTAAGGAATAATATATAGATAGATAATATAATATTATATAATACAATTTGCATTAAAAAAAATAATATATAAATATAATGTATATTATAAAAAAGGATATTTTACTTAAATGAGGAGCTTTACGATCAAGTTTAGCCTTTGTCATGCTATATTATTATTATTATTATTATCATTATTATTATTGTTATTAGATAGATAGATATATAAATATATATATTAAATATGTAAATTATTACTAACTATTATTCAATAATGATAAAAATAAATATATTTGTTATTTACATTTCTTCATAAAATTTCAACCGATTTCCAAAAATGATTATATTTTCCAGTTTATTTATATCCCAATTTGATTTAATTAAATTATTGTATAATCCAAGTGGACAATGAGGCATGAAAAATAACGTTTGATTTATTATAGATCGTTTGGCTTTCTTTTTTTAAACATAAAAAAAAAAAAAAAAACTATTGAAAGTAATGAAAAACACAATAAATGTATGGTTTTTTTTTCTTTAGTTAATAAATAAAATTTACCTCATTTGTTTTAATCAATTCCACTTCGAAATGGTTTAAAACTTCAATATCAATTTGAGTTAATTTTGGATCAAATGTGTAAATTCTTCCTGTTATCTAAATTTAATAAAAAAAAAAAAATAATAATAATATATTTATATTTTTTTTTATAATAATTATCTTAAATTTAAAAAAAAAAATTAAATTAAAAAAAAATATATATATTTTTTCTTTTCAACCTGAAAAATATTTTTAAAAATTAGCAATAATGCAAATTGATATTGTGATATAATTGAATCTTGAATGCTTCCTATTCCATATGCTACAATATCAACTATATTAGGTCGGTTGGGAGGAAGAAATTGATATTTGATCCCCTCTAGAACCAGAAGCATAAGAAAGGATCAAAATATTTATTTTTTAAATATTTTAACTATAAACATTTTTTTTGTTTACAATAATGAATTATCTTTAATTGAATACCTTTCAATTCTATATAGAATTTACTTTTCAATAAGGTATTACTAAGAATAATTAAAAAGAAGAATGAATATTATAATAATAATATTAACTTGAAATGACAACAATTTTTTTTTTTAAAAAAAAAAAAAATCAAACAATTATCAAGTACATATTATCAAAAACCTTTTTTCCTTTACGAAGGAAACTATTTCTTCAATTGTTTTACTTCTTTTTCTTGAACCCTGACGACGTTTTTTTTTCTTAGGTAAAGTGAATGTATTATATTTGAAATCATTCATATTTATTATATATATAAAGATAATATAATGGAACAAAAATTTTTTTTATTTATTTAGGTAAATTCGGATTAATTCTCTTTCATTATCTAATCCTTTTAACCTATTTAGGGGGTAGGCTAAAGCGGAGTAGAATCATGTGAGGTGATTTCGGGTTAAGGCGGAAGTGTGATCGTATCACATGTAT